GGTTGAAACCAAAAGCTGCTGCATGTCCTTGGGAAGAACATTGAACACCACTTGCAGATCTCCTTTGAGTTTCTGGCAAGTTGCAATAGAATCCGAAGGGACCTCTCCAGATTGCTGCAACTGAGAATACATTTAATGTAAATGTGAATATATTGCTTGAGTTTACTTGTCATGAATGTACATTCATAATTATCTATGGGGAATACAAAGCAAAGAAAATGTTAAACTCGCAAGTTGAGCAATCCATGAATATAAAAATGCATACATTGTCCAAAGGGTCATGGATGGTATAAAATGTTAAAAATTCAAGATATACACCGCGATGAGTTCTTTTCATTCTCGAAATTTACTAGCATTGCAATTTGCAAAGCATATATTAGTGGAGTCGATACAAATGAATGTACTAGTGTCATTCAAACAGGAAAAATGTGTCCCTTCTATTTCGTTTAGGTTCACCGAGTTACTAAGTGTACACGTCTAGCCAAGGATTTTAGACAGTATTTGCAGTCATAAAATTAAAGAAGCAAAATATCCTATAATCTTAGACTTCTTTTAATTCAGAACTTTATTTAGGCATGTTTGGAATCCAGAAACAGTGGAATTTATTTGTAAATTCACACTTAATTTCATTAAAATATAGTGAAAATTGACAAAAATTGACCTTACAGAATCCCATATGAAATCAATTTTTGTCATCTTTACATCCTGTCCTAGCTGAACTAAATGTACATTGTGAGTAAATTCCATAAAATTTCTGGGTACGTTACAAACGTGGTCCTAGTCTGCTTCTAAGTTTAAGAATTTGCTGTCTATGCATACCTGAGCAGATCACTATGTTGAGACAGCTTCCTGATGATCTATGAAAGTTGAAAATTTTCTAAGATCAATTTTTTTACTCTCCGTTTTTCATAATTTTTAGCATTTTCATTGTCCTACATAATCAGTAAAATAACTGAACTAGCCCTTAGAAACAGAAAGTATTAATCATGACAACCATTATGGGAACGTTGCAAGGAAGATAGATACTTGAAGAAAAAGTAGGAGAGGAAGATTAAGGACACTGTTAAATCAAAGCATAGGATTAAGCAACATCATAAAGTCACGAAACACAGATTATGCTTTCATCAAATTTAAGATTGCATACCTCCATGTTCTAAATAGAAGAAAAAAAAAATTGATACCACCACACCTCTAAGGCAGCCAATGTGTCGAACACTCTTTTTAATAGATGTTTATAGAATTATGTATCGGGTTTTGAGTTCCGTGCCATGAAAAGTGAAAAAAGCATGGTTCTCTCTAGTATAATTTTTCCCTAGGATAGCTGTACCTAGCTCCAATAAGCACCTCATAGCGCTCCTTGCCCTTGGTCGATCTTCCTCTAGGGTTACTAGATAGCTTCAGCAGTTCTACTTCCTTCAGAGTATACAACGTGGAAAAGTTCCTACTTCTCTATGCTTACCTGAGCTCCCAGGAGACCAGAAGGTCATAGATCAATAGCTCACTACGGAAAGAGATGCTACACTCACTACTATAAAAGATAGGCCTTACAACCCTCTAATCCATTCCATCATTAAGGTAGGCCAGGAAGCTCTCTCTCTACTATCCTATTGGCTCGAGAGAAGTTCTTTAGGGAAAAAGAACCAGGGTGCGCTTTTTTTTTAGTTGAGCGACGAGAAAGGACAGCTTAGAAATAAATATGTTCCCCATATGCAGTAGTAGTCAGAGCTATGAATTGATTCAACTGATTTGGGACTGAAACAAGCTATCCCTGTGGGTGGGTTGAGACAAGAATGAGGAAGGTAAATTTTAATCTGCAGAGGAACTGAGTATCAAGGGTGTGCAAGCTATGCTGCAATTGTTACTCTGTCTCTGCTCTCTTTGTGCCCAGCAGATGAGTTTCAGGAGAAGGAAAGCAAAATGAGTTGGGGTGTTTTATCCAGAGAGAGCTTTATGGATCGGTTGTAAAAAAGAAGTTTTAGGAGAATTTGAAGATGGGAATGACCTTGGTCAGGACAGATGGCTGACTCTTTGGTGGTTTCAGGGAGGGGTGAGAAAGAATTTTGTTCTGCTCATTTATGACCGATCGTTAGAGACGACCCATTGGCATCAGCCAGGACCTCGCCTGGGCATTTGCTAAATCCAGCATCAACTCTATTTCTATAATCAAAATTAAAATTCCATTTTTCATATGAACCAACTTAAATAAGAACAAGAAAGTTTAGTTTTTTGTTTAACTTCAATTCAATTTTTTTAATTTTTATAATATTAAATATAAATTAAAAATATACTTCAAAATAACTATTAGTAATTACGATAGTCTTAAAATTTCTTTTATCTATTAAATATTTTAGTTTTTTCAATAATTATAGTAGGATGATATTCAAAAAGAGTATTCTAAAGATTTCACAGAAAATATGCTGATGTGACTGTTTAAAGCAGAAGGTCACCACTAGTTGACTAATTGAATGGTCATGCCTGGAGTGAATTAGCCTTTAAAAAAGCAAGAGGGCAAAAATGTTCCAACAGACATGGGAATAAGTATATCTTGGCTCGAACCTTGGAGATTGGAGTAATTTTGGGATACCTAATTCATAATCATATTTGGGCACTGAAAATAATAACCATAACTTTCACTAGATAACTTGAATTTTTTCAGGAAATTTGGTCACAAGATCATCTTTTTGGAAAAAATGAACTGTATCAGTCCTGTCTTAACATGCTCCAGATCTGGTTCAAGCTAAGCTTGGAGGACATTGTTGAATAAGCATAGCTGAGTTCACATTTATAACTCATATGCGATTGAGAAGAAAAATCTACAATGCTCCACAGCCAGGCCCTCAAGTAAAATCAGCTTCATTTGACAACTCAATTGCCTCTAGCATGTACTCAATATAATAATTTAACAATTAAATTGTGCTACTTTCTTTCATCCCCTTCATACCTCCCCCAAGAAGAAATTATTTATAGCGTTTCATGTTATTCAGGAATTTCTAGGCATTGCTAAAAAGTGTTTTTATTTCAAAAATCCTGAATGTGTTAATTCTTCCAAACATTTCATTTTTTTTGAAATAATCTTCCAAACATTTCATACAGACAACATGTCCAATAACGAGGTAGCTGAAAAGGAAGAATGAAAGATTACATAGTCCAGAGAAAATAAGTTACCTCTCCTTCTGCTAGGATATATTTCTCAATGGCATTGAAGGAATCAACAATCTCCAATTCAGACATTTTAGATATTAACTGTTGTATGTCAGTCTTCATTCTTGCCTGTCTCCATAATCTATGTTGCTCTCTTTCAGCAACTGCACGTCTTCGTTGAAACCAAGGTGTAAAGTTTGATCCTTTTAGAAACCGCCTGAAGAAAATGCAAAACATCTATTCAAGTCGGGTGACAAAAGATTAAAAAAATTTCCTGCCTGGAAAACCAAATGCAAACAAAATAAAGCAACTGGCAGAAGATGGTTAGTGGAAAACAATCACAGATGGAATTTTCATTACCTATACAAATCCAACCAGTTAGATTTCATCCGCTTTGATAGAAACTTTCCCACACCTCTTGCTGATAAGTTTGACAGGAATTCGTCAACTCTAAATGGAGGAAGAGGAGGAGGGTCAACAAATGGAGAAGATCCTTCAGAAGGGGTGGTAATCCGAAAATATGGACCAAAAGGAGCCAAAAAATTAGTAGTGAGCTCCAAGAAATGCCGGCGCAATATTTCATTGTTAACAACTGACATTGATTCCTCAACTCTAGGTGAAATTCCAGCATCAACGAGCCTATTCAAGATAGAGGTGTCTGGCTTAGTAGTTGCGACATAACTGCTCCAAATGGCCTCCTTATGTTCAGTCATGAGACAGAGAGGACCTTCTCTCCTCAACTTCACAGCATTCAACAAGGTTGAAGGAGAGAACTTCTTCAAGGAAAGCTGCAGTCCTTCTGGTGTACCAGAAATTCTGCCAGTAGAAGACCTACTTGTAAGGGTGACCCGATTTGAATTAGGAGCAGGACTTCCAACTGATACAATGTGAGGGATGTTTCGAAGAGCTTTCAGGAAAAAAAGGTTTGTCACGCCCAAAACCATTGAAGGAAAAATATCTCTTTCTTGAAGAGAATTCAATTGTTTGAATTCGGGATCATGGATTGTAAAATATGGCCTAAAATCAACACTACAAAGTAGCGGTGCAACCAAACTTACAAGACTGGCAACAGCCTCACAGCACTGTGATGGTGTTGATGCTATGATAAGAAGGGGCTCTCCAATAAGCAACAACTCCCACAGAACCCATAGCTGCAATAAAAGCCCTCGGAACGTGCCAAAAATATCTGAATCATGAAAAAGGCCTTGTGGGGCAGACTGATTACTTGGGAGTAAAGGAGCCATTGAGGATGAAGTCTCTTCAAATAACATTCCAGTTCCCAAGGGTAAGCTGTAAGCAGGTGGCAAGCTCACTTTAAGCACTGCATTCCCAATTGGGAGCTCCATTAGCTTACCAGGTACAGGAGATGGCCAGATTGATACATAAGCAGCAATATGCTCTATAGCCTTCTTTCCAATATCAAAATACAAAGGACCCATAATCTGCAACAAAGGTCTAAACACACTTGAGTAAGGAGTATGAGACAGTATTACCACAGATTTTTGTTCCCCACCTCGCTTTAACCTCTCATCATGTCTTTGCCTATTAAAAACATAACCATACAAATATTCTGAACCTATTCCACAGCTGCTACTCTTCAATCTTTTCTCGATTTCCCCCTCTAATGACTTTGCAGGTAGTTCTCTATCATCAATTTCTGGAATATCAGGTGAAGTCACATTGCCCTCTTGAGGATTTTTCCGCCTCCTGAAGCGGAAAAAAAATATGCAATCATGTATGCTCGAACGGTTATGGTTTTGTGACACAGAATCTGGAAATGAACTGAAAGCAACCTCAAGCTCTTCATCTTGCGAGAGACAACCTGGTGGGTAGCACTCTTCTATTAGCTGACCCTGCTCAAGGTCAAATCTAATGGTGCAAAATGCAAGAACCCATCGCTGTAAAGACTCCGGATCAGGCTTTAAACTAAGCTCTGGCTTCACAGAGAAGGAAGGCGATCGACTCATTTCCCAGATATGCAACGAACTCTTCTATCCATCAAAAAGATTTCTCATCATCACTTTCCCCAAGAATTTCCACTGAAACTTTCATGGATTTGGGATTCAACTCGTGGAGAAATAACAAATTTCCTAGCAAAGTTAGCTACTTTCCTACTCTAATTCTTCAGAGGTTTCTTCATTTCGAAGGCAAAAGGTGTCATTAACAAACCTGAGAAAGCAAAATAAACATCTGGTGGATAACAAAGAAAACAACTTACAGAGGGTTTTGAAGGAAAAGAGAAGAAGTTCAAATATTTTAAACTTAGGATTCACCCAACTAAGTAGAATACAATTTAGCTAACTTCAGTAAGGATTACATTCTCTAGCGACCACCACAACCTAAATCAACTCTCTCTCCCGTTTCATGTATTTTCTCAGCTACCAAACAAACAATCATCAACAAAAGCAATAAAAGAAAATGGGGGAAAAAAACAAACAAATACGCTGAGAATGGAAATTCAAAGAGGATCTGCTAATGGGTATTTATGAACTTACCTAAATTATATACCGCAGACAAGATTTTCGCGCAAGGAGTCCGGATCGTAGAGAAATACGCACCAAATTGACCAAAAAGGAAATGGGTCCCGGCAAAAGATCCCAAGAAATAAACAAAAATGTGAACCTTCCCTCGGCAACTGGGCAAAACACAGGTCCTCTTTTTCAGGTAATTGTTAATATATATACATATCTAACCTAAACGGGTGCGATCAATAAATTTGACTCGTAAAATCCTCTTTTTTTCCCTCTCGAATTGCTAAAGAAGAGAATTAATGGTCATGTCGCCATCTCCATATCTGATTATTTGTAGATTTATCTCTTCCACATTTTTTCCTATGATTAGATCGTTTTGCGAAAAAATAACATGTATATTGTAAACTGTAAATTACATAAATAAATAGTTTTTCATTGTATGATCATGTGAGGAAGATTTTAATCTCAAAAGAAAAAAGGTGATGAAGATTTTATTTAGTAATCATCTTATTTGCTTGTTCTTAAATTTGTCAATTTGAGTGTCTCTCACAATTATTTTCCGATCTGACTCATTCGAGTAAAGAATTTATTGTGGTTTATTTATTGATCTATAAATGAATTACGTCTTTCTCTCTTTGCTTAAATAAATATGGGCCAAAATACCTATTTTCATCCTCAAAAAATTTAAAATGCCATCCTCACATTTTTTTTTTTAATTTTACATTCAATTTTTCAAAATGTTTAAATCATCCCCTTGTTGTTACTATCTGTTGATGCTCTTAGCATACTTCAAAGTAATATATATAATTTTAGTCTACGTGAATGTCATATATTATAAACATATCATCTACGTAGATTCACTTAACTTAATAAAAATATTCTTTCAATTAATAAATTTTATATTAAAAATTATATACATTTCTACGTATATATGTTGTAATGACCAGGAAATTAAAAAGAAATAAATTATAAATTAAATACAGAAGCGAAATAATAGAGTTAAAGTTTACATTCCTTACACAATAGTTTTAAATATTCAATAGAGCTACCGGAATGTCCCTTCTAAAAAAACAAACGAAAAGTAGACAACCAAGCATCTTAGGACGACCTTCACTACCTTTTGAATGAGTCCGAATGATAAACTATTCACAACTCTCTTGTTGATCGAAATTTGAGTCTTAATTCTCTTGATGTGAAATAGTAAATGAAGGGGTGAGATACACTAACTCAGTAAGAATATCACACTATTCACAGATACAGAAAATAAAAGTTGGTAAAAATCATAAAAATAGTCAATGGAACTCTTAATTTAACTAAATTCATTTATCATATGTAAAACCATTTATTGCATACTTACCGTTTGCGAGATTTCCAAAACCGATCTATAGAGACAATAACTCAACAACATCATAATCTCATATTCAAGTAAGCAAAAATAATAACTTTCCCTTTTTATTTATCTACTAGTATCCATAGGGGTCCATAGGAATATCTCACTATGCGTAAACCAACATCTAACCTTGTCAACTAACCGGTCGTCCTCATACCTTGTCCGGTATGAGCGTCAAAATACTATCCCTCAATACTCTGTCCAGTATGATGGTGAAATGAGTCGTTCTCATACTCAGTCTAGTATGAGCACCAAAATACTAATTTTCGATATCTCGTCCGGTATGAGGGTGAAATGGGTTGTCCTCATACCCCGTCCGGTATGAGGCAACATTCACGGTAGGATTTTCTATGTACCCAGTCCATCCACCATCGCCCAAGATATCCTGTAAGGTTATCACTCATTCATTCACTTAACCAATCAATTTTCTGTTTACATTTAATTTTCAGTTTTACAATTTAATCGTAAATTAATGCAAAGCAAACAATACATGCATCAAAGAAACACAACTGAATCATTTTAACAATTCCAATATATTATCATGCATTTAAAACCGTAAAATTGAACAATCGGTTAAACATGACAAACAATAATAAATAACCGGTTCTTGCTCCATTAGTAACCTGTAATTAATTCTCGAAATTTTTTAAATTATGCAAAATAACGAATTATTGATAATTAAACTTCAATTCCATAACAGAAAATAAGGTGAAAGATTATTACCCGAATCGGTGTCCGAAATACTGAACTTTCTACTGTATCTACTGGCGGTCCATAGATTTCTTGAATTTTCCTACAGAGGTAAAAACACGCTTCATGTACATAAAAATACTCTGAAGAACCTAAAATCGGTGTTAAAAATTTTCTTCGGCCAATTTCGGAATTCCAGCACAACGGCACCACCGTGCTTCGGCGATGGCACTGTCGTCTGCAGTGGCAGTTTGCATCGGACTGGCTATTTTCGGCCAGTTTTGGCCGATTTCGACCGATTTTATACTCATCCCTGCGAGAAAACACGTTAAAGGGTGTTGGTTGGCCAAAAAAAGTTGAAAATAAAAACTTACCAGCAACGAAATTTTTTGGTGCGAAGACTCTGCCGGCTTATCTTTACGGTTTGGCATTTTTCTTCAATCAACCTATAGAAAACAGAATGGTAAATACAATGGTAAAAAAATCGCACGAAATGGAAACAGGAAGGGGCTCATCGGAGGTAATTTTTTATTTTTTCTGCGGCGTCGCTGCCAGGCTTTACTCACGATTTTCGACTCATCCACCATTTCTTTTTCTTCGATTTGGCCATGGGGGTGTTCAAAATCAAATTCCAAGTGAATAGAAGAATTTTTTACCTTTTTTAGCAGTCCTTCGTTAGCTCCAGCATGGCGGCGAGCGGCGGTCGGCTCCCTTCGCCGACGACTGGTTCTTCTTCTCTGACGAGGGGCTACCAGCTAGGGTTTGGATTCGGTGTGATGTGATATATTTATACCAATCTCCCTTAAATTTGCTCCGTTCATCGCATTTGATCGCGACCGTCCGATCGCATTTAAAGAAAAAATGAATCTAAATTGTTCATCACGATTTGATCTGAACCGTACGATTACATTTAAAGAGGAAACGAATCTGGACCGTTCATTGCGTTTAATTGTGACGGTCCAATCATACCTGAGGAGGGTACGGATCCGCACCGTCCACGAGCGCGGGAACGTATCCGGGCTGTCTGATCGCGGGCACGTGGATTGCCAGAATGATCTCCCGCGTGGCACTAAATCAACGTGCCTTACCACACGATGCGCTCCGATTCGTCGAGACTGCTAGCTGGGCATCCTACATGGCACAATTTTTTTAATTATATTTAACCCCCAATTTTCGATATTTTTTTCGAATATACCCCCGAACCCAAATTTTTACCTCTTTTTCTCAAAATTATTTTCAATTTTATCATCCATCTATTTTTTTTTTCTAATTTTACATTAAATAAAAATTTAAAAATTATATTTTTATATATTTTTTTAATTTTAAAATTAGTTCCGAACTAAATTTAGGAATAGTGTATTACATATGTATACAAAAGAAAAGAAACAAAAAAAAATATCTCAATGTATCTATGTATGTATATACCTCAATGGATGTTGGTGATTGCTCCAATTTGATTAACATCACAATCATAATAATCTCTTTGCAAAACTTTTATGTCAACTCCTATTTTCAGAAGATACAATAGCTCAAATCCTTCAACAAACAATAAAAGTGTTGGAGTACTCATTGGCACTGATAAAGTTAGTGGTGAGTTCGTTGAAAAAATTAATTTAGTATGTATATGTGAACTCCTTTTAATGTCAAAGGCAAAGGGATGGGACTTTCTAAGACTTCTTAGATGAAGCCAAACAATGCTTTCTCTTGATGAAGGTGACTCCAGATGAACGAGGAAGATGGTGGAGGTGCTCATCAAGCTTTTTAGTAAAGGGGTATTGTTTTTCGGTGAGCCTCTAGGGAACAAATGGGGAAGGACTTCATCATTTTAAATGTGTCTACGTGGCTGTCACATGATGACGTATGACATCCATATAGATTATAGTTACACATGTTATAGTTGACTTCTAACCGTGTCAACGGACAATAATAATAAATGAGTAATTTGAACAGTTTAAAACGTTGAATGTTAAATTAAATTTAAACAATAAATGTATTTATTATAGTTGAATATTAAAATTTATGTATCATCTAATTGATAAACAATTTTTAAAAAGTAAACAATATTTTCAAAACTTTTAACTTTATTTTTATTTCACCATCATTATCTTCATTGTTAACTAATGTATTTGTTATGGTTTACCCTTTTATAGTTTAATGTTTTTATATTTTTATACTATATTATTTGGTCGTTTGATGTTTTATCATCTATATAAAATTTATTTTTAAACATACTTTATATATAATAAGAAAAAGTTGCTTACTGAAAACTAAGTTGTGAGAAAAAAAATTACAATATTTAGACTACAATCGAACCAAAACATTACAAATGAAAATAATAATTCGCTTCTAATGTTAATACGGACATTCCTTTTTTTTTGGGTAAAGTATGGACATCATAACTATTTATAAAAAATTTTGTAAAAAATTTGTAATTAATATCATTAACACCAGTAATACAGTTTTATTTTTTATATATAATAAAAATACTAATTAATACAATTAAATGTTGATATTCATATTATATTTAATTTTTATTAATAACTAATAAAAATCTGATTTTGTAAAGTTTATAGTATTTAACTCAAATCTGATATGAATAATACGCCAATAATATATTGTTATGTTTAATTTTCATTAGTAACTAATAAAAATTGAATTTTATAAAATTTATAGTGTTTAATTCAAAGTAATACATTATTTGTATCAATCTAATATATTAAAATATCATATTTATAAAAATAAAAACCAACTCACACAACTTTAAAGCAAGATAGTTATAAGAAAAGAAGGATGGTTTTTCATTCATATTCTTATAAGATAAATAAAGATAAGAGAGATGATCACATAAATTCATGATGTAAATAAGCAAATGCAACGAGTGTGCGAGTATATATATATATATATATATATATATATAAATGTAGTGAATGATTCATTCATTGGCATTCTCCAAATACTTGTGTTTCTCCTCATCAGTCATGAAAGCAATGATGGGAAATGACTTGCCAATCCCCATGGGAGTCTTGAAATGAATCTTTTTGCTTGCTGGATCATCAATGCTCATCTCTGTAATTGGCACCCATAACAACAACTGTTTGCTCTTCACACCCGTCATTTTCTTCATCTTCCTCTTCTCCACATACGCAGTTACCTCTCTAGAATAGCTCACTCGTGTGTTGGTATCGACAAAAAAGTGCTCGTAAGGCTGTTTTTGCTTCATCCACACGAATCCCGTCTCTCTAACTCTCCCGCATTCTTCAAGGTCTTGAAGAGGGAGAACTCCCTTGGGGAAACCCAATTCCTCCAAGAGCTCTATGGAGTGGCGGTAGCATTCTTCTGCCCCGTACACGATTTCAGCACCCGCACGCTCGTCTCCTGCCACCAGTTTAGTGCTAGCCATTTTAGATGTAGAAATAGTAACTAGTAAACGATTTTGATTAGGAATTTGATGTGGGTATGAGATAAAATGGCGTTTGGGTGGAGTTAAGTAAGGGGGGAATGAAGAGAGAGGTGAAGTTGTATGGTAGGTAGAAGTTGAACTAAAATGAAGAGTTTGCGAGAAAATAGACATAGGTAGGTGGGTCTTGTTGTTTACCCATAAAGGGGAGAATTTGAAGTGAGTTGAATTGCTTAGCAAGATTTGCATGATTATAGCTTATAGATGTGTGTTTTTGTGCGTGTAAATATATATATGTATATATATATATGAACTTTTTAAGCTCAACTACTTTCTATCAAGCATTCTTGCGCAGGCGTCTCCTAAAAAAAGGTATGTATAACCTGTGGGTAAAGGAGAAATTCTGTTCAAGAAGACAAAAACAAAGTTAGGAATTAAACTATATAGTTTTGGTTAACTGGGAATAATTTTAGTAAGAAATTTCCATTAGATGAAAGAGGATTCCCTTGACAAAACGTTATTTAGTTTTGCATTTTTTGCTTTGATTCCAGCACAAATATATATACATATATATATATATATATATCATCTCTTCCTTTCTTTCGCAGATTTATGCGTGTGTGTACGTGCGCGATTCATATGAAACTGTACAATTTACTCGTTATGGACTAGTCTCTTTTTGTTTTTTTCTTTCTATAAATACTCGACTACTCCGTCAAAAGATATCTGAAGTTGCAAATGCAATAATTTCTCCCTGATAATTTTGTTAAAACGTATTCTTAATGACCAATAATTCAGATACTCAAAAATCTAAACTTCTAGGATTCAGCACCTCCATTTGTATCCACGCCATTATTCAAACATATCAAGTACAAACTAACAGTAAGAAAGATGTAAATAGCCCTGCAAACAAAGATTTGAACAAATTATTTTCACTGGCAAATTGTGAAAGCAACAACTAAGCCGAAAAAAGGGCTAGTTGGGACCAGAACGAGGGTATTACCTTCGTACATCTAATTAAATCTTTACAAAGCTAAATTTTTGTGTCAGTTTTAACACAACCTCACACAATGCCAATGCAAGGAAACAGAGAGACAACTTAAAATCCCAGAGCAAAAAAGGCACCTTTTTTCTTTCTATAGATATAAAAGCTTGTATATTTACAGTTTCTAACTAGTGAAAGTAAAAGGCTAACCAGTTATAGTAAGAACTTTAGCAGCTGTACTCGCTCTCTCTCTCTCTCTCCAGTGCTATGTTGTCCGTCAGTTGGAACCACCAAACACCATTAGCTTAACAGTATGGGCAAAACCTATATACCTAAGAAGTTACTTTGACTCTTCTCTGAACTTCATTTCTTACAAAAACGGCAAAGGGCAATACATTAAACATCAAATACAGGTAATCTCTCCTCAATCGAGACACGGCAGATTGGGCATTTTTTACACTTCTCACAGCATTTGCTGCAAAGGAAAATAATAATAATAAAAAAGTCGGGAAAGTTTATTTGAGAATCAATACAACCCATATGCTGACAATTTAAAAACAATTGAACTTCAGTACTAGCAAATTAATTTAGTAGCATTGATGTAAATGATCATACCTGCAAAGAATTCGATGCCTACACGGAAGAAGGACAACACTGATCTCTCCCTCAAAACAAACCCTACATAGCACTTTCTCCTGGACAGTACATTAAAATAATAATCAGCAAATACAAACCCAGGATACAAAACTTCAACAAAGTTCATGAGTATACTTCAAATCAGACAGTAACAACTTCATCACCACATTAACGAAATGCAATTTGATAGACAATTGAAGGTCTCAACAGATAAACCCACCAACTATCATGATAATCTTGTTATATGAAAACCATCATGATAATCAAATACCTAGAACTACCACATCATGCTTGTCGTGGCTTTCTGTTGAGACAAAGGTCCGAGTCAAGTACATAAAAATTTATCTTTAGCTGGTTTGACTCTAGCAGGACCTAAATATATAACGATCCTTCATGGAAGCTGGGACAAGTTATACAGGACAAAGCAATCAAAAGCACAGTATAAGCCAAAAAGCCTGAATTCAAATTACAACCTATGAAAATTTGGCCAGACTAGAAATTTATTAGATACACATTATTTCACAGATC